AACAACAACAAAAAAAAAATAGCAATATTACTTTAAATTTTTGGCAATAATTACCGAGTATAATGTCAGCTGAAATTAGCAGCTTCAAAAACAATTAAATCAAAAAAAAAAAAAAGTCAATTGAACAACAGTAATTAATAGTTTACAATAAAATTACGCTGATCATTTTCTTACTCGTTTTTTTGACGACTTTTCATGCAGTCAACCTCTTCGTCAATAACAATTAATTTTAGTACACACTTGAAGCCTAGTAAGACTTATTCTCATCAACAAACCTGTATGAAAGCAAATTAAGTGAACTTGCATTATTCCAAGTTATTAGTTCATAAAAATTTTTTAAATGCCATACTCATGCATACAAATCAGTCGTAAACTTGTCCAAAACAATAATTCCCATACATCATAAAGAAAACTTTTTTTTAGTTCAGAAACTTTTTCTTTTTTTGCCACTTTATAGATAAAGAATACATCTCTTAAAATGTTCTCCGCTGACTCTTCAGTCTTCTTCTACCTTACCTTTTATAAATTCTTAGCTACACATAAAAACTTTAAGAGAACCTCAAGTTAATATACTGGTCACTACAACAGTATAAATAAAGTATAAAATTTAAGCAAAATAATTAGGTGTTTTAAACAATAAGACTAATATATTCAAAACAAAGTAACAATTTAAAAAAAAAAAAAAAGAAAAACAGATTATTAAATTTTCAATGAAAGAGCTCACAACGGTATCTGATGCGTTTAAATACTCTGAAGACAATAAATTCTTTCGTGAAAGATAGAAATGACTGTAAAAACAGTCGATTGTTTCAATAATACTGCAAAAAAGACGTTGGTGGATTTGAAATGGTGGAACAATTTTGATTTAAAATATCGAACAAACGTAACAAAGATCAAAAAAGCAGATAGACGTATTAAGCGTGTGATAGATAGATGAACTGCTGTTGAACGTATTACGTGAACCGATTGGAGAGACGACACAGTACGCAACAGCATTGTAACAGACAAACCCAGGGGAGTTACCATCGTTAGTACATATCCAAATGTCAATCGTTTTTTTTTCTTTTTTTCCAACCAGATTTCTTGCCATTAATGACCGCCTTCTCATGCAGTTTCCGAAACGAAGCATCATAAGTCGTTGAACAAAAGAAAGAAATTACTGAACAACTGTTTTTTCATCTTAAAACTAGAAAAAGTCCAAAAAAAAAAATTAGCACATTTTTTCTGACTGACAACAATTTACTTTTTAATTACAAAACTCAGTCTTCTGTAACCGCTAAGCATAGAAAAATGCCTCATAAAAAAGCACAAAAAGAAAAAAAAAAAAGAAAACAAAAGTTTAGCAGAGAAGAGAAATTTGGAAGGTAAAAAAAGAAAGAATTTGTCATCAACATCATAAAATTCTTCAATAAAGGCTACAAATAAGATTAAGAAAAATTTTCTTGCACACATGTTACAACTATTATTTTTTACCCTTTAACCTAAACTTTCTTTTCACCAATAATTTTTTTTGAACCACTTTATACAAACTGTTTGATAATAGCAGTTTTAAATACCCCATTCATAAAAGGTGCTTCATTAGAATCTGCGATAGCGACGAACTGGTGCACCATACAGTACAACTGAACCACAGAAAACTCTCAGATCGTCGATCATTAAAGTTTTCAGTTGTTTCATGACATTATTTTAAATTTTCAAATTTTTTTTTTTTTTTTAAATCCGTCAAAACATCAAATGCAGCTCAGGTGATAATGTCTTTAAAAAACGTTAATCATCATGATGCCCTTTCAAACGACAAAAGCCAACGATAATAACTCTTCACTTCCTGTAACCAAGCTATAGCAAAAAAATGCACTGTTGTACAGTTTGAAAGCCAGCCCTTGATCTATACAGTTTTCAAAAATTTCTCTTTCAAGTTTATCGTATGCGAAAAAACGTGAAAAAGTACGACAAATTTGAAAAGTAAACTGAGCGAGTTCAGCTCCCAGAAGTTCCCTTACTTTGGTCCCAGTTTTACAACCAACTTTTGCGTACCTTTTAGACGGTCTATACTTTTCCTTAATTCATATGCAGATGTTCCCATTCTTAAACATTTTTTTAATAGACTACAGATGAGAAATTAATAAAGTTCTTAGTGGGGATTGAACTTCTAGGCAGTGCTCCGATTAGAGTAACCCTTCTTACAAATCAAGCATGCAGAGGACGCCAGAATAAAGGTAAATAAGACTGTCTATTTCGTGTAACTTCGACTACACGTTTGATCCTGCCCTTTAAAATAGCTTGCTTATATTGCATGATCTGATCACTGAACCAGGTTTTACTCGTCTCTCCAACAGGTCATTGATCATATCATTGGGGGCATTTATAGATAAAAATAGCGCTGTTGGCAAACAGCCATTTCCAAAAAAAATTCTGTTTCATGTAACAACTCAATATATTGTGATTTCGTACAAGGTACCATTTTGTACAACTGAAAGTAACCTTAAATTTATGATTGCTTGAGCACGTGGTGTTGTTGTTCCTTAACTTTAACTGTTAGAAAGCGTATTTCTATCTTATTCTAGTAGGATTTTGCTTTTGTGTACACGTTAAAAGAGAAGGTTGGTTTTCTGTTAGTCTTCAATGCTTCTTTGTCGAACGGCATTTTCACCAACTAAATTTTGGTTCGTGATTCAAATTTTTTACTCTTAAGTCTAACATTATAGATTGCCTTCTTGAATAGAAAAACCTTATTATGTATTATTATTAGTTTTAGTTACTTTGCTCTAATCATTGTCGCAGTTGGTAGTACAAGAATCAGTTGGAACCCAATAGAGGGTACTAAGCTTTCCACCTTGTAAAAACTTGATCTTCTAATTTTCAGCTCAGGTGGTTTTGTTTCAGAAATCAGTTGGCAGTCAGTTGGTAGCTTTAGAAGATGGGTGGATAATTAATATGAACCCTTAAGACTATTTCTCCCGAAAAATGGAGCTGAAACGTGCGGTTGGTAATTGCCTGTTTTTTACTAAATTCGTTTTCGCTGGCAAAAATTTGCTCCTGATTGGGATATCAGTTGTTGTAATCGCTGTGTTTTGCAGAACTGTGGACAGCTTATATCAGAATTTATAGTGGTAGCGAATTTAGAAGAAGACGTCAATGTTATCTATGGAAAAGTTCCTCCAGTGTGGGCTTGCCGCACGGTCGCTTCTCTTGTTGATCCGGCTAAGGCAGTATTCAAAAGTATACCGCAATCTAGGTAAGTTAAGTGAATATGTTATTCTAAATTTGGATGCGATGCATTGAATAGTGCAGTATATTTCTTTAACCTTATTTTTAAATAGATAATGCAGTTTTGAAATTTTTTCATTTTTTAAATAGTAAGTTAATTTAGAAGTGCTGTTCTTCATTATCTGGGCTTATTAACTCACGAATCTGTCTACTTGTACTTTAATGCGAAAGGAAAACCCCATCTTGGTAGCCTTCTTAAAGATTATTTTGGCTTGAATTATTCTGTTTTTCAATTTTTAGTTTTTCACCGTTTAAATAAAGGGTAAAAAACTAAAAATTATTTCGAGCAGAACTTACTAATGTCTGTTTTTTACTTTCGTTTTGAAAGTATTTAGTAAGAAAATTTTGTTTTTACTGCAAAATCGTCAAAAAAATACATTTTTGATATAATCGTATGTCGTGTAACAATACTTTAGAGCGTTATAGGAACTGACATTGGTAATAGTGAGAAAGCTGTGGAGATCTTGTCAGCGGAAATAATAGACTTCTTGAACTCAACAAATCTGAAAAGTGCCGCTTTGGAGATATTTAAGGTGTTTTTTTGGCTATTTTTCAAACGGTCGGCAGCAACGTCATGAACTTGTATTTTGATGACCCTACTGGTTTTTCGAGATTCAGTCTGTTAAACTTTTTGTTTTGAGTTTGTTGTCGAAATTATTTTATTTTATTTTTTATTAAGTTTGTCGTACTATATGAAGTGGTTTTTGTTCTCTTTCTCAGTTTGGGTGTAGCCTTTTTGTCGAGATATGCCAGTTCAATTACAAACACTTAATCGTCAAGCAAGCTGGAAGGGCAACGCCAGTTGTGTTGTTGCCTTTGTTCGAAAGCTGTCCTGCTATTAGCAGTGTGATGAGATTGGTCGATACTGCAAATTTAATGCTGTTGGTGTTTTGGTCTTAGAATTAAGTTGAAATTACAAGAATTTTTTTGGATGACAAAAAGTTTTATAATCTAATTTATCTCGTATAATTTTTTGGTAACTATATAAAAATCTTTAAAAATTTTTTTGTGTGGGTTTATTGAGATATCACAGAAGTGAACTTTTTTTAAATCTGTTGAGCCTTCGAGGGTTTTCGGGTTTCAGGTTAAGAATTGATCCTGAACTTTGCCTAAGCATCATTTTGGACATCTCAAGACATGGATTCAGTTTTGACTGGGTTTGGTTGCATATAGCGTATGTATTTTTGAATGCGTCATTCAGTATCAGTCTAATATTGTACTCCTAATCAATTATTACGTAGTTCTGAAAGCTTCAGGTCAAAATTTTCGGCTTATATTATACCTCACATTCTCAAGGTTGGCGCAAATGATTTCAGACAGTATGTGTTGGAAGTTCACAAGCAGCAAGAGGTAATTGAAATTTATGCTTTTTTACTTTTTTATGATTGTTGGAAGAATGCTTAACGTTTTATTACTTGTAAAATTGACGCCATTTTCACTTTTCAGAACAATCCTGTTGCTGTAGTAGAAATGCATGAAACCCATCGTCATAAATTTCTTTCTTTATCGGAGGTTTTCAATTTCCTCTCTTCTAAAGGTTTCGCAGAACTCGAAAGTGTCACTCGTGAAGCACTAGTCGTAAGCAAGCTACTACTTCTCATACATTTTCTGTGTAGTTGCGAAACTAGAATGAATACATTTCAGAAGCTTAACCTAGATTTTTTAAGTTAAAACTTGGTTTAGAAAGGTATGGAAGCGTTAGAAGATGCAGAAGACGGTGATAAACTGATATCGGAAACAGCGGACTTCACCCTTGCTTTTTTGTTCAAACTTCTAACGAATTCTGCAGATGTGTTAAGATATCTTGTAGAACATGCGTTCGATATTGGTTATTTTTTGTAATTGTACGGGGCGCTGCGTTGTGGCCATTAACGAAGATTTTTTTCTGAGAAACTACAAGTTCTGTTTTTCTGGGTATATGTTCAACAGAAATAACATCGTAATGCTTATTTCTAGTGACTTCGGCCGGAGTGATGAATGTCGCGAAACAACTTGCTCTCATCAATAAACAGTGTGTTTTACCAAATTTGCGCAACATGGACAGTTACAACGCTTTTTTTCAGCAGATGGTATTTGCAGTTAAAGGGCCTGCTTTGACAAGAATATTTGAGTTAGCATATCCATTCGCATTTGACGAGCGTGTTTATGAAGGTTAAATCAACACTTATTGATGGAACTCATCAAAGTGTTTCACTCATTTAAACTATATTTTCTGTTCTAGAGGCATCAAGAGAGAACAGATCGCTTTGTGACGCTATGAAGGATGGTGCGTTTGCTATTCTAGTAAGTCGTTTGTTCATAAAAACAAGCTTTCACTAAACCACAATATAGTTTAGCCAGTTGGCTTAGGCTATCCCTCTACACCAACAATTTTATACAATTGTGAAAAACATATTTTTTCGGGTTAGGCAAAATGAAAAGTGGATTAATGAAGCACTGGTACGAAATCAGTGGTTTTCAAAATGAAGTTCTTAGTTTTCTTTTTTTTTTTTTGGAATCAGGCTCTGTTTTTATGGAGCTGTTTTTAGTCACCAGATACTTGTCACTGCATCTGTTTAAAAAAATTTTTTTAATTTAGGAGGAAATTGTCGGGACGTTGTTAATAACAATACATGATCAGGTCCTGTTTAATATAACGGAATGTGGTATCCTGATGAGGTTAGGGTGTGATACGAAAAAACTTGACGAATGCATATCTGGAGCTTTGGTTGCTGGTCCTCGGTTGGCTTTTCGTCAGTACTATTTTTTCTATCTCAGTTTTTCATCATACGTTCACTTCCTTTGTTAGGGACGTTTACTAATTAAAATTTTTAATGCAATTCCGCATTTACTTAAATGTTAATTTTTAGTGCCCCATTCTTTATTCGATACTTACACGCTTTTTGTCTGGTAGCTGGTCCTGCGAAGTCTTGGGAAGTGGTAGCACGTTTCATCATTAAAGCTGAAGACGAGGAGCAGGTGGGGTTTAATTTTTTGCTCTACTCTATCCAATTACTGTTTATGGTTTTTTTTTTAGATTTTGAGCTTATCTGCGCTACTGACCACTATTATGCCGTTTCATCGAAAGATAGTTACTGGATTTATTGAGAATTTTTGTTCTATTCGAATTGCTTTAGAGAGAGAAGAGAAGCGTCGTAATCGTGCAGTTACCTTAACTAGTAAAACTTGTTTTTGAAATTCTTGTTATTATTAAATCGTAGTTTCAATCTTGTTTTTTTTTTCTGATTTTTCAGTCAAGTTCCATCATTAACAGTTGACAAACTCTTACAGATACGTCAGAACCTGAGCTTCTGGATTATGCAGTTGATGTTCGATGGATTGAAAACTTAAGGATATTAAATGAATGGAGCAAGCTAGCTAAAGAACATCATCCTGTGAAAATCACACGGTAGGGTTGTTTTTATAGGAAACAATATGCATTTAAAGATGTGACTATAAGTTTTTTTCTTTTAAAGAGCCTCTTATTTGGGTATTTTTGACTTGACTCTGTTTCAGATTTATTGATTACTTTCAAGCTGTACTATTTTATAGGTTTGAAATGGGCAAAAATGCAGGTCAGCTTTTGTGTGACGCTCTAAGATTTACGATTGACGAACTTTACAGAATGCGAGAAGTTAAAAAAAGAGTTTGTTTTCTTTGTTTCATATCACTTATTTGGAATTTAGTGTACCATTTCACTGGTTTATGCCGATTTTTCTGCTCACTTTACATTTATTTCTGTGCAGAAGGATTCACTTGATTATGAAAGCAACAAGATAACTATTATCAACGCTGTCTGCGGCTTGGCTCACTCCTTAACACCAATGCCTGTTCAGCCCCCGAAGTACACCTTCAAAATGTGCGCTCAGTTTGCTTCACTGTTCGTTGAACTTCTGAAAGATGTTGGAGATGGTATGATTAAGGATTATATTTTGTGTAAGATGATGAGTAGCAAAACGGTATTCCTTTTACTTTTGATTTTGCTTTAATTTATGCCTTCAAATTGTTGCAAATTTTTCTATTTAGTGATGCAGTCGGCTGCTTTGTCGCTTTTCAACAACACTTGTGCAGCAATAACAGATGTTTTACGTTGCCAGTTACTGTATATTAGGGAACAGTTCATCATTCATTTGCTCGATGAAGTTTTGGCTGTAAGCCTGGAATTTAATAAACGTTTCAATACAGCATACAAATGTGCATGCTAA